CACAAAAACCATACTGAGGAATGAATGGTCTGACATGGTGAAAGAAGAGGTGTTTGATTTGCATATGTACCAAAGATTTTAAACTTTCATATGCTTAAATTTGTCAGGCGTTTTGTAGAAAAACCTGTGAAAATTATCAAACATAAACTACGGATGTAAATTTTCTGAAAACACCAGCTCAGACGTTAAAGTCCAACTTTCTATGAACTGTTTAAACTTCAAATGATGTTCATGTTGTGAAGAGTCTCTAGGCTGGGTTGTCTCATCTGTTTGGACAAAAAAAAAACATTGATATTTATGTATTTGGTAGTGCCGATACCAAAACCACAGCGCTCTATTCCCAGTGGAGTCATGTATAATTAGCATATTTTATTGGTTCACTGCACAACAACATGCAAGACAAAAAGGTTAAACAGGACAGTATTGAAGGTGCTTCAGTGATTGGGCTTTGACTTAATTAAAACATTCAGTAACTACAGGCAGCAGCATGGTTTATCACACCGTTTCTTCTTGTGGAAACTGTTGACACAATCCACACAACTGACGTCCTGCCAGTACACTGAGTGAAGGGTGTGGCAAATGTTAAATTACAAAAAGAAGACAGGCAGGGAAACAAAACATTGAAGTAGTTTTTATATTTTTTGAACCGCTCAGCTCCAAGACTCGTACAGATGGCAGCTCACATTGAGCCTGGACCTGCTCCAGTTCTAAACAAGCTGATAAAAGACGACTCCAGCAGATGATAAAACTGTGGTGACTTTGTTGGAAGTAGATTTAAAGGTTAAAGCGATGGGACAGGGGATCTGGTTTACTTTGCTTCCTCCGTTTGGATTATTAGTGAACTGAATAATTTAACGTCAAGCTGCTTCTCTTGGTCTCAGTCCTTCCTCCACCTCTGGGTCTCTGAAGGCAGAAGAAATGCTCATTACGTTATGTTTGTCTCTCTCCATCCTCTCTGATAAAGCACAAATACTGTGAGAAACTCCAGCTGGAATCAGAAACAAACCCTTCATTTTTCAGCTGCCTCAGCTGAGCTTGGCCATCGGTGTGCAGCGTGGAGGGCGTGCAGCRTGGAGGGCGTGCAGCGTTTGCTGCCTGCAGGGACGTCTAAACTGCTCATCAATCAGAGAGCTGCTCTGCACGGGAGCTGAAAAAAGTCATTAAAAAAAACAGATCCTACTTGATGTAGCTCTGAATTAGCTTTATGAGCTCCTGGGAGCAGCTCTCAGCCTCGCCTCATGCTGGTGCAGTGGCAGGATTTTACCAGCAGAGCTTTTTCTACTCTCATCTTAGCTTGTTTAAAAACGTTGGACGTTTTTAAAGCCTTCATATTCCTGTGTGCTCCTGTCAGGTACTGAGAGTTGGATTTTACAGCAGTTCTTAAATCTCCAACACTTTATCTGCAGCTGTGTTTCCATCACMGAACCTAAAGATAAAATAAACCTCCACAGACCGTCTCTGCTGGTACTTCATGTAGTTTATATTGTGTTTTCCAGCTCGAAATACTTGATACACAGAATATTTACACTCTTTCACAATAAAAAAG